TCCAAGCACTCTACTTTGATTTCGCTCAAAAAACTTTTATTTTATTTTTATTTTTGATTTCTCAAAAGACCTAATAGAATTCCCTCGGTCTCCATTCCCAATTCCGAGCTAGAATATAATTAGGCATTTTTCCTTTTTTTTTCTCACCCCGCACCAAGCATTCACTTTGATTTCTTCCAACTTTTTATTTTTATTTTACTTTGATTTCTCAAAAGACCTTATGAAATTTCCTCGAATTCCTTTCCAAAATTCAAGCAAAAAAGTAATTAGGCATTTTTCCTTTTTTTTTCTCACCACGCACCAAGCATTCACTTTGATTTCTTCCAACTTTTTATTTTTTTTATTTTTGATTTCTCAAAAGACCTAATAGAATTCCTTCGATTTCATTCCCAATTTCGAGCTAGAATATGGTTAGGCATTTTTCTTTTTTTTTTCTCACCATTCAACCAAACACATTCAATTTTGATTTCATTCAACTATTTTTATATTATTTTTATTTTGATTTCAAAGCCTAAATAGAACCCCCTCGAATTCATTTCTTAACTCGAGTAGAATTCGTTTAGGCGCATTTTCTTTTCTTTTAATCCACTATGTACCATAACATTCCTTGATTTCTTACAATTAAAAATTTTTGATTTCTATTAATTATACTCAACCTATATCATCAACACCATTCTATTTTACTTTTATATTACCAGCAATGTTTGTATATAGCCCCTCCATACCCACAACTAATTTTCCCACAAAATTATTTTTCACTTTACAGAATTCTCTCAGGCTAACCCCTTCTTGAATTCTTCACATGTAGGGGGCGCATCTGTCATAATTTGTATATAATTAAATGCAACCCCGACCCACTATGTATATATCATGTATGATTTTCAAAGACTTAATAAAGAACAAGGTAACTGGAGGAAAGAAAGTAACAAAAGATATAGGAAGTAAGACTAAAGCTGGCACGACTATTTTGGCACCCCTGTGTCAACATTGCAGGGGCAGAGACCGGTCGTCTCTAGTGACCGCAGAAGTTATTTTAGCCAAGATGCACTCAATACTTCCGGCAAAAACAGGACGTATCTAATATCCGTCGAAGCTATAAGCGTCAAGATACCCAATACTTCCTGACGAAATCGGATATACCAGGCAGGCCATCTTTCATCAAGGAGAGCCGCCGGCCAATTAGGGAGGAACCACTAAGTAGGTCAACCAATAGGAAAACACCATGTGATCATATCTCAACCAATCAGAGAGAAACTGAAGCTTGGTGTTAAATCGAAAAGCAAGAAATGTCAGTTACGCTTTGGCTCCCAAGGAGGTGACATCGGCTCTAGACCTCTCCCCCTCTGCTCATCCCACAGCTAAGTACAATCACCGCCATGTGATCAGTTAATTAATAAGTCAAATCGCTCAGCTCTTATCAAACTTTCTTTCCTCCAACCCGTTGCCTTTATTTTCAAACTCAATCACGTGTCCTGATTATTCCTAACTGTATGCTGCAACTTCCACTCAAACGGCTGCGCTTCAACCAAATCTCACCATTCGCATCCAACAATAAGAAACCCCGCAACGATATTGCCACATATATATATATATAAAGAGACAAAGGTCGCCTCTCTCCCGTCAAAATAGACGTGTAAAACCAGACGCCATCTATTGACCGTCGCCGCAACTAACGGCCTCGGGTCGTTGACAAAGCCACAACTCCAGCTTTGGCAAACTGAAAAGCGTCCATTTTAGACGTATATTTTGACGGGAGAGGCGACCCTTTTCTCTTTATATCAATTTCCTCCCGGGAAAATTTCCATCTATATTTTAACCATAGATATGGCTCAGCCACTTTGCCAGTTAAACACCTCTTTGGTAGATTGTCAAGATTCCATTAGATCCTGTGTGGACCTCATGGATAAAGTCCGCCCTAGACTGACGAGGGCCATTAACCCGAAACCATGGTCTCTAGGTGGAAGCTTCTCAATTTTCCAAAGCTGGTGTTGTGGCTTTGTCACCGACCCGAGGCCGCTAGTTGCGGCGACGGTCAATAGATGGCGTCTGGTTTTAGACGTCTATTTTGACGGGAGAGGCGACCATTGCTTCCATATATATATATATTCTTACCTCCAATATCCTCCGCCAGAAGGATCTTCCTCGCCAACAGCTAGCTACCGTCCAGGTCAGACAATCTTCTCTTTCACCTTCTTCCAGGATCATCCACACGGCCACACTCTCGGCAGCAACTTGCTGCTTCCTCTCTCACATCCTCCTGTCTCTTCGTCAGCTGACCCCCTATTTAAATTTCACGGTGTCTCTATGGGCCATTATTACTTCCTTGACTACCATACACGTCGTCTTGGCTCTTGTGAAAAGGAGAACCAGATGTCTTATTGCCCCTTCTTCAATTCCTGTTTGTCCCCAAACAAGTAAAGACTCTTCTTCTTCCATCCGATGGTTCTTTTATCTCTATGACTTATCTGGCCACTTGAGGCTCGCCAGTTTCCCGGAAGCATAACGCCTGCAGGATTAGTTCATTCAGAATAAATATATTGAGTACAATTTTTTAAATGTATTTCATAGGTATTCATTTCTATATTTTTGTATTAATAAAGAATTTTACTAAATATCTTTAATAAAAGGCATATATCAAATCAATAGATATGTTTCAAACAATATTCTGAATGGCTGAACAACCGAAATTATTGTTATTACTATAAATATATGCCTTTATTTATATATAAGATTTTTTTTTTATTTACAAAACTTTATATAAAAATATATCTCAAAACACAATCCCCCCCCCCCCCCCAAAAAAAAACGATATATCCAATAAACAAATTTTCAATTGGAACAAATACGTTATGGAATGTTTCTAGCAGCCAATCACAACTATTGTGGCAATCCCTATAAGACTCTTTATGAAAATAGGAGAAGTAGAATGACGGAAGAGAATATCCATCAATTAGGAGAGATAAGGAAAGAGGCACAAAAAACAGCTCCTGTGTAAGTAGTCATTGGATGCGGCATTTATTCCATCGGCAAGAAACATCCGCGCATGTAGCCGGATCTAACATAGCAATCTTCGAAAAAACTGGAATAAATTTATACCAGAACAAGCGCTTCTATAAATCAGGAAACGTATGCTATAATTTATAATGGGAAGCACGTAACGTTTAATTTTTACTTGAAATTATGATTCGAGCAGGTTATTGTAGGTTAAAATTCAGAGATATAAATAATTTTTCATTATTGTTTAATAATTTTATTGCACGCTGAAATTTAATGGTTTCAGTAATAAAAACATCAAAATGAATCCTCACCCATTCAAAATATAGAAATCATCGAAAAAGGAATAAAATATTATCCTAGGAATCGCAATGCAATTAATATCCCAAACAATTCATCAAAAGGCATTGGTTAAAAATGTATGTTTTATTCTTATTTGTTATTAATTGTTAATTATTGTAGAAATTGTTGTTAAATATTATTCATTAATGTTATTCTATTCTTTATTGTTAATTTATATAATTCATTGTTTTACATAATTAATTCTTTATTGTTTCATTTTAATCTGTATATATTTTCATTGATTCGGCAACAGTTTGTTGTCTATATATTTTGTGTTTTGTTTAGTTTACTCATTAGTCTAGTTAAATCGAGCCATCAAGTCATGTTAGGCTAATCAAATTCATTCATGTAGCTTTTATTCTGGAATCATTAAATCAGAAATTGCTTGTTCAATTGCGTAGAGTTCCCTTATTCAAGTTAACAGAACTCATTCAAAAATACAGCGCGCCTACGTCACAGGATGACGTGGCATTCGAGGAGCTTCCGACCATCACCACTAGAGGCGCTGTGCACTCCCCTTCACTTCCTGTTATGTCTTCCCTTGTACTACCTGCTTGCATAACCTCGTGAGAGAGAGATATATTAAAACCTATATATATTTAAATCTTTTCTTAATTTGATTGAACCACCCATCCAACAATTTTAATAGTATTCAAAAGTTAAAAAGTCTAAAATCAATATTATTCCAAACCCTGAGAAATATATTAAACTCAAAAATAAAGGAGATGTCTTTTTCATAACCAACCACTTTGTTTATACAAATTTTATGAACTCTGCCGTGTAAATACATGTGTAAATCTGTAAATATTTAATCCTAAGTTTTAGTTTGTTTGTTTCTATAATAGGTGTGTAATGGGTCTGTATAAGGCGCAAATACTTCAATATATCGCGCCTTTTAATACTACACACAAATAGATAAATTTCCAGAATCAAATTCTCGTTCTTACATTTAATAGAGAACCTCGTTGATCGATGCAAACACTGAGCTAAAAAAACACTCCACTCTGATTTGCTAATTAACTCAACTCTAATTATCTTATTGACGTCACGTGATAGTAAATAACCTATTGGCGAGTGAAAAATTACCATCCGATATAATCCATAATCATATATGAACATTTTGCTGTATAAGACATGAGGTAACATATCACGAAAGATATAGGAAAAATTGGGCTTATGGTTACACCTATAACCTCTATGAGGATAAACAACAAACTTAAAAAATAGATAGAAAATATATGAACGCGAACTCTATTTCCTCCGAGGCACGTAATTTATTTATTATTTATTTTCATTACCCTACAAGGCCTTATACAGACCCATTACACACCTATTACAGAAACAAACAAACTAAAACTTAGAATTAAATATTTACAGATTTACACATGCATTAAACGGCAGAGTTCATAAAATTTGTATAAACAAAGTGGTTGATTATGAAAAAGGCATCTCCTTATCGTGCAACTGAAAGTTGCTGATGGCTTGCGCTATCTATTGGAATAAATATAAACTATTCTCGTTGATTTTTAATTATTCCAGAAGTGGCCAAATACTTTAAATTCGCCAAATACCAAATAATTAAATGATTAATCAAGAATTGATATTTGGCCAATTTTTGAATCTACTTATATATTTGCCTTATTCTCTCTGTTTGTCTGTTTGAAGCTCACGGATGGGGTTCAGTGGTAGAATGCTCGCCTGCCAGGCGGGCGGCCCGGTTCGATTCCCGGCCGATGCATTTTTTTTTTTTTTTACAATTTTTAAAACTCATTTATATATTACTAGACGAATGGCCCGGGCAACGCCCGGGTTTTACCCGAGTGCGTATATATTTTAAAAACGTTTTAATTCAAATACTATTCGTTACAATTATAAATTGACGCCATGGATGTCACTCTTGTGAAACGTCCCGTTCCAAACTGTGTGTTTTTAAAATGTTTCAATTAAAATACTATTCGTTACAATTATAAATTGGCGCCGTGGATGTCTCTCTTGTGAAACGTCCCGCCCCAAACTGCGTGTGTCTTGAAAATTTGAAATGTTATCTACTTATATATTTGCCTTATTCTGTCTGTTTGTCTGTTTGAAGCTCACGGATGGGATTTTTCATAACCATCGGTGGTTCAGTGGTAGAATGCTCGCCTGCCACGCGGGCGGCCCGGGTTCGATTCCCGGCCGATGCATTTTTTTTTTTACAATTTTTAAAACTCATTTATATATTATACAAGAATGACATCCACGGCGCCAATTTCTAATTGTAACGAATAGTATTTGAATAAAAGCATTTAATCGGGTAAAACCCGGGCGTTGCCCGGGTCATTCGTATATAATAATTGTATAAACGAATGCAAGACAAAATCACCGCGAATGTTTCTTTTTTTAAGGCAATTATCGTTATTTATCGTTAATTTTTGTTTCGATTTTATTGAAAAAAAAAACGATATGGTACCTTTAAAAAATGATCTTTATTACTATGCAGTTTTCTATTTAGTCAATATACGTAAGTTCATGTTGCAAATGTAATTATTTCTATCGATTTAGTAGGTGAAATGCAAAAAAAAAATCGACATGATGAAATCTTTATGAAAATTTCATTTTTATTTTTATATTTTCAAGACACACACAGTTTGGGGCGGGACGTTTCACAAGAGAGACATCCACGGCGCCAATTTATAATTGTAACGAATAGTATTTTAATTAAAACATTTTAAAAACACACAGTTTGGAACGGGACGTTTCACAAGAGTGACATCCATGGCGCCAATTTATAATTGTAACGAATAGTATTTGAATTAAAACGTTTTTAAAATATATACGCACTCGGGTAAAACCCGGTCGTTGCCCGGGCCATTCGTCTAGTTATTAATAATCAACGAGAATAGTTGATATTTATTCCGATAGATGGCGCAAGCCATCAGCAACTTTCAGTTGCACGATAAGGAGATGCCTTTTTTCATAATTTTTGAACCTTATCCCAGTACAATATCACAATTTTATTTTTTTTAACAAAGTGGTTGGTGTTAGAGAGATAACTCGTTTATATCTGCTAACAATCGATGTCCCACTTCTGCAAAGTTTGAAAAGTCATAGATAAGGTGGAGAGCGGTTTGTTGAGTTTCTCCGCAGGAACAATTCGGGGTTTCCGATAGACCTTTTTTATGTAAGTAATGTTGTAATTTTCCGCGTGATGTGACAAATTAGATGACAATAAAATTTTGATGGAAGGGTATCGGAATGCCCTTTGGAAAAAAAATAATTTTATATACAGTTACAAGCGTCATGCGTTCTTAATTCTTCAGTTTTCATCTCTGTCACCGTTTGTTTTTTTGGAATGGCGCTCTCCTATTGGTTGGCTACGATCACGCCACCTTTGCCCCCCCCCCCCCACTCGCTTTTTGGTTTTTGTAACTATTGTGTTGGAGCGGGTCGCACCTTAAATAAATGCATATATTAGTTAATAACTAAATGGAATCCTCTCTTTCTTTTTCCCAGTAAGAGACGCCTACGGAAGCCAACAGTACATAGACAGATAAAGCATATAGGCTATAGTTATTAACTAATATATGTATGTCATAATTTGTATATAATTGTATGCACCCCGACCCACTATGCATGTACAATGTATGATTTTCAAAGATTTAATAAAGAATAAGGTAACTGGAGGAAAGGAAGTGGCAACAAGACACAGGAAGCAGGCTAAAAGCGGGCACAAGAATAAATAACTTGTACAGTCAATACTTCCTGGCAAAACCCGGACGTATCTAGTATCCGCAGAAGTTATATTAGTATAGAGACGCCCAACATTTCCGGACAGAACCGGACGTATTTTGATAACGCGGTAGTAAATAGAGTCGAACACACCAGATACTTCCTGACCAGGCCGGGCGTATCTTTCACCAAAGAAAGCCGCCGGTCCAATTAGAAAGTACCCACTAAGTAGGTCAACCAATAGAAAAACGGGCACGTTCCATCCCTCGACCAATGGGAAGGAAGACAACTCGTGGTTTTAAATCGAGAAGCAAGAATAGTCAGTAGAGTTTTCGCCCCCATAGGAACAACACCTATGTAGTAGCGACTTGGCCCCCACCGAGTCAGATCAGTAGTGCTTTGGCTCCCAAGGAGGTGACATCGGCTCTGGACCTCTCTCCCTCTGCTCATCCCGTAGCTAAGTACAATCACCACCATGTGATCAGATAATTAACAATCAAAACCCGCTCCGCTCTTCTCAAGCTTTCTTCCCTCCAACCCAGTTGTTTTTATTTTCAAACCCCATCACGTGTCCTGATTATTCCTAACTGTGTGCTTCACTTGCCACTCAACGACTGCGTTTCAACCAATCCTCACCATTCAAATCAAACAACAAGAAATTCCGCAACGATATTGTCACAGAACGGTTAAGTCGACAGGATTCTACAACAGTATAATACATCAAATATTGCAGTGTAATAACTTTGCATATATTACACAGAGTCGACAGGATAAAGATATTATGGAGCTTAATCAGGATCAAAATGGAAATTAGCCCAGACACCAGCAAATCAAACGGCAATGACAAAACCAGCGGAAAAGAAGCGGGCAAGAAGAGAGGCGACCAGGCGCCTTCTAGCGGCCATCATATGGCAGATGACCGTGGCCCTCCGACATGTCGACGCCCCGCAAAGTGAGACGGAATTCCGGAGCGCCATTCCCCGGGGAGGACGACGGACACAACCCCCGCCAACCCCAGGCGAGCGTCACCGAGGCCGGACACCGACCACCGAGGAGTCATCCACCACCATGCCGTACACCGCCCCCGAAACCAATCCGCGCGATCCGGGACAGCACAAACGATCCCAAAACGATATTCCAGTACCGGACTTCACTTCAATTTCGCGTACGGTGCGAGCAGTCCCGAGCCAAGCCAACCACCCCAAACCAAGACGTCCCAGAGGAGGCCTGTTGAACTGAGGTAGGCACCCACCCTATGGCGTCAAGAAATTGACATTGGACTTCTATCTAACCTACCTACCCCTTTAATCATGTATCTAACCTTGTACTCAATGAATGCACGCACGGGCTAGACCAAAACCTGTCCCAAAGGACTCGTACAGCACACAAAGCTTTCACACATGGAAACCCTTGCCTGCATTCATTGCCCAAACCTCAAATATTTACATGCCACCATTCTAATCTCACACCACGCAACTTTTCATGCCCACAACATATAAAGCCACCACGACTTCAACCTACAATTCCAATAATGCCCAAAAAAGTGTCCGTACACCAACACAGCTCACACACTTACCACACAAAATCCATACATGACCATACGTCGTCACGCTAACAAACACGCACAACCCGCCCAACAAGCGCGACACTCGCGCCAAAAGACGACAACAACCAACAAACGCATGCACCGTCGTTAGTAACAATCATCTCGTCTACCCAAAACACTAAAAAAATGTTCACCTTAAAAGGTGCCATATACACTAACAATAGAAATTTCGATATATGACTTTAATAAATTTGTTGTTCATAGTGAGAACAGGTTAGATTTTGTACAAACAAGGACTTCGCGTGACACCTTTTCATTCACAATTTTTTTTTTCGATTCGTGTCACAGGTCACCCCACAAAATTTTTCATTTCAGGCCACAGACGCCTTTCACCACGCCTGTGACACGGCTCCACTCAAAGCGTGTTCACGTCGTAAACCTCATTTTTCACTCAATTCCACTCTAATATTACTAAATAGCATTTTTTACTAAAGTCACAACGACCATTCGATTTAATAAATGGATACAACATCCGGCTTTTCAAAATACAAATAACGTCGAACTTACACCAACTCATCTCTTCACAATGTATTGGCAGAACATAACACATGACACAAGACATCGCAAAACAGGTGAAAACCTGCCCCACCTGCCGATTCGCTAGAAGAATCGATGAATCCGACCAACACTACGTAAAACACCGACCCAACCAATGTCGGAGAAGTCACACTCCAAAAACAAGATGCAAGTCGCACTCAAAATAAATTAGACGGCAGGAAGTGAGAATTTTGAGACACCGCGACAGGAAGTGTAGTCCGCGGCGATAAATTCGGCCTATGCAAACAAAGGGGAGCGCCTCGTCCGATCTCCAATTTCATTCCCTCTCTTTTGCCCGACACACCCCACTTCCGTATCTCTAATTACAATGAGAAGGTCCCCTATTGAGGTCAACTGGGAATCTCTCTATGCCACCGATTTTGGATTCCAATTCAAGCCTGCGCATCGACTCTTACAATGTCAATCAAATCGACTGTCATTCGAAAATCAAACAAGGTACACGCACACACATTCCTTACACAACAGACTTCTAACATTTTCCACAACACACACAAAGACAAAAAATATATAGGGCATAATTGAGCAATTAAAAAATTTATAGGGCATGTAGATACAAAAGGGTTCAAACCAATACACCTTATTTTTCATATTAATCATTTTCATTATTTTCTCTCAATTAAAATTTAAATATATAATCAATTTATCAATTTATTCAACTTATTATCACTTTTAATCATTAATTATCTTTTTTTTTCCAATTAGTTTATATTATCATTTTTATTTATCAATTATCATTCTATTTACCACTTAGCTTATATTGTCATAACTCAATTTTCAACGAAAACTCATTGATTTTCGGTTAAACTAAAAACATTAAATCATCCTTTATTGTTGAAACCTTTTTATTTTTCATTTTTCTTTTTTTT